CGATGTCAGGAGCCAACTGAAAGAAGATGTTTTGGAAGCGTTAATGTGCGTGAAGGATTGGCAGGACGCTCATTTTCGACTATAAGATAAATACGCTGAAGTTGCATGTCGTCAGGTAAGTAATATTTAATTTAATTATATTAATCAAAATTTCATTATTTTTTAATCGTTAAATTTAATTTTTTTTAAAAAATTGTACACGTTACAACAAGTTGTTCGTGTACAATTTTTAACTCTGCCTACTTAAAATTAATGTAACCGATCCTAAGCCCGGATAAAGGAGGAGGATTTACATTTTATTAACTTTAAAAAGAAATCAAAAAAAATATTTTTTGTAAATGTATTTCAAAAAATAATTCGTCTTCATTATATAAATATTTTATACTTTATAAAAAGTATTACAATATGAATCATATGATATAACTAAAAAAAATAAAAAATTGTTTTTGTTAAATCATTTTTATTTTTTAACACTTTTTATATGGTCAAGAAATCATAGTTTTTTAACACTTTCACACTTAAAAAAAAAAAAGACGAGCCCACGAGCTTGGCTCGTCACGAGCGCTAGCCAAGCTCGTGGGATTCAAGGCCGAGCCCGGCTCGGCTCGGCCCATTGCCACCTCTAGTTTCATCCCAAGTCAATTTATTTTTAGAAAAATTCTAGAACTAGGCCCTGTGTTGATAAGGCTAAGGTGGCTCCAGGTCGTGTTTTTGTAGAAAACTCTAATAACCAATGACATTTAACAAAAGAAAGCCCAACGAAAGTATCTGAACAAACTAAAAGGTCATTGCAAGTTCTGTAAGGAAATGTTTGTGTGTCTACAGTCCTTGTAAGGCTGTACACTTACAGCCTCCTCACATGAGGGGGCCTTACAATTAATGTGGGGCCCCCTCATGTGAGAGGGCTATGAGACTTGGTGTACAGCACAAGTCTCATAGCAGTGTTGTACACCAAGCACTGCCCAGTATGTTAATTTCTAAAGAGTAAGACATCTTATCTAAAAATTTGAACTTTTAAATGAACCATCCAATATGCATAAATACACAAATTATTTAAGTTAGCAATTTTATTTGAGCGCAGTACAAAAATAAAATAAAATAAAATAAAAAATAGAAGCATTATCTTGCTTAAGCAATTTTTGTTTTTTGTTTTTTCTTTATGAGTACCTTCCAGGGTTAAATAAATTGATTGTTATCCAACTTATATCAATTTTCATTTTGATTACCAAAAATTATTTTGTGTCCAATTAGAGTGTGTTTGATTGGCATAAAAAAATCACCTAGAAAAGAAAATGTTTTCCTTATTTTGAGAAAAACAAAAAGCCAACGACCCCCAGAGAAAATATTTTCCTTAAAAACAAGGAAAATTATGCATATTTTCAATGAAAAAATTAACAATCAAACATCCAAAGTATGAATTTGGGTGGAAAACTGATATTTTCCATTGAAAATATATGTAATCAAAATCCTGTAATCTTTCATTTTGTTTCATTTTAAGCTATATCCGTCTCAATGTGATAAATTACTAAAGGCTGATGTGGTTGGTGGAAATTATTTATGTAACATGAAAAGTCCATTAGTGCATTATTTTATCTCCTGGCTAAATAAAATCTATAAAGACTTGATCAGATGAACATGATAAATCTCACATCAAATAACAATGAAATAAATATGAACCATAAAAGGGTTTGAGCTACTCCTCATAATTGTTTAATTTTTTGAAACAGAGGGTGCAAAAACATTATGCTTCTCAAATAATTGGAATGTTGACTTATAAAGGTTAAATATATATAGCAAAGAAGTTTCATGATTCATTTTATCAAACTCGAAAAATCTTAAATAACCGATATATAAAGTAAATATAGATCTAATGGATGGTGGTGTTAATTATAGTTTCAAGTGCATTGAGAAGTCTCTGTAATGTGAGCAAAAAAGGGCAAGGGCCCGGGGGGCGGGGGGGTTGGGATCAAAGCCATTCGAATTGCAAACTGTTATAAAAAATCGAACTGAAATCGATTGGTTCTCTATGCAATATTCCAAATCAAATTTAAATCGATCGGTTCTCTGTGCAATATCCCAAAACCTACATGTTTCTTATAGGACCGATGTTAAAGCGTCCGATTCGATCCCATTCCAATTCGTTTAGGTCAGTTGTTGGGAAAAAAAAAATCCCACCCCTGCCATGAGATGTCATGACATATTGGTCTTCCCATCAAGTCAATGCTGTCAATATTCCTAAAGTATAGTAGGGACAAGAATCCGATTTCAATAAACAGCTACAGGCTTGCTGAAGACTTTTCTTTATGAAGGAAACTACCTATTTTCTTGGAAAAAATTTGGCCTAAATATTTAAGATGTCAAGGAATAAAGATATTTAACACGATTTCTCACTTTCAGGTTCAATTTATCTATTCATGAAATGCATCTCAGGTAATTTATTTATAAATAAGTAAAGATGAATCTGAGCTAAGACAATTTATCTACCCTCATGTTATATTGAACGGCTTCATCAAAATTAAAAGGTTATAAAATAAATATAAATAAATTTATATTTTTTATTAAACAATTAATCACACATTTGTTCTGCAATAGACGGCTTTACTGCTCTGTACGTGTAATTGTAAAAGTGTCACGTTTTTTCTTGGTCTTCATTCCAAGTTAATCCATTTAATTTCCACAAAGTTGAGCATATAGACAAAAACATCAATATCATTTTGGAAAACTCCCATCCACTTGCCATAGATTTTTTAGGTTAGTGAAATACTGTTCTTGAATTTTCTATTGTTTGATAATAATGTTATTGTCTATTTCATATATGTAAACATCCTAATTGTCATTTCCATCTCGCATTAAATAATTCATTTAAAATCTAAGTCATTAGAGGAATCATATTTGTTTATTCTGAATGAAGATTCTAAGATGCGTTGCATCTCACGTTCATTCAAATTCTTTTATTTTTATCGAAGGCCTACCACAAAGATGAATTTTGTTAATGATTAAGGATAAGGTATTTTATCTAAAAACTTCAACTTTAAATGTATAAATAACACAAGTCATTTAAGTTATAATCCATTTTCCATTTGAGCACAATACACAGAAAGGAAATCAAAGTATTACCTTGCTTAAGTAATTTTTTTTTCTTAAGGTTTTGCTAGGGGTAAAAATAAATAAATAAATAATGGTTGTAATCCGACTTATATCATTGTTTCATTTTGGTTATCTAAAATTATTCCGTTTCCAATTAGTTTTATTTTGTTTTAGTTTACACTATGTCCATCCCAATGTGCTAAATTACTAGAAAATAGTGTAGATGTTGCTAATCAAAAAATTATTTATGTTAACATAAAAAATCCATTAGTGCATTGATTTTATCCCCTGGATATATATATATATATATATATATATATATATATTTGAAGACTTTTTCTCTTTTCTCTTTCCTTTTTCCTTTTATATTATATTTGCTATTTCTTCTTAGAAAATGCATTTGAAAATGCTACTAGTCTAACGACACGTGTTTTTTGTGCTATTATTGTCACTTGATCACATGAATATATTTTTGTTTTTTAAATTAGAGTAGAGAAAACTCACTTCAGATATTTCTCATCAAATTATCAAATTAGTACCTCCTATCCCACCATTCAATTCAATATGAGAGAGAAAAAAAAGTTAATTAGTCAATTTATTTTTTTCCATTTCCCATACCAATAAAAGTAATATTTAAATTTTCAATTTAGTGCTATTTAAGTAAAAAAAATAAAAAATGAAAAAGATATCATCACCCGAAAGGCCCATTGGGCTTTTCTTCTGGCCAGACAGCTACTCAAATGGTCCAAAGATTCGATAGAAGGATTACAACCCAAAAATCATCGTCTCCCTCCATCAGCCCTATCGCCACATAGCCATATTGGTCGCACCACCACCCTCTACAACCTATTCTTACATAGATAGATACGCACAAATGTACTTGCCTTGCAATAACGGAATGTATAGAAATCAATCTCTTTGAAATGTGGTGTTTCAGAAGCCCAATGCAGCCATTTTTCTGATAATATAAGCCCTTGTGTTATTCAAAGTAATTAATTAATTTCATTTGATGGCATGCATTCTCAATTCTTCTGTACACCCTACACATATCAGACCCTCAATTTCATATTTTTCTAAGAAGTGCAAAATAATACGTGAAGCCAAAGAAGAAGAATGAAAATTCCCAAAAAAAAAAAAAAAAAAAAAAAAAAAAAAAAATTTGAAAGTTCTGAAATAAAATTAAAAAATACTTTCTTTTTATAGGTGTTCTTGTGTGAGTTGGACTTGCTGGCGTATGATGATATTAGCTGAAATTGTCTGTGGTTCTTTGCTAGTTTGATACTTGTTCACCATCCCAGCTTTCACAATCGATTAAAGTATCCAACGGAAGCGTTCACGGAACACTAACTCTAGAGGAATTGAAAACATGGGTTAAGACCTTCCGGCTATATCCCATAGGCTTGCTTACAGTAAAATATTGGACTTTTTGTAGAATAGCTTTATCACATAGTCAGTTTTTATCAATTTTTTCTAAAAGCAATCTTAAAAGAACAAAACACTATTAAAAAACTATTCAAACATGATCAAAATAAACTTCTCAGTGTTAGAAACATATTTTAACTTTTCAAAATCTTTGTCAAACATGCCCTAATACTTAAGTTGGGAGCATAGATTTTCGAACGTGAATTGCCATCACTACAAGAAATATATACTTTCCCTACAAAAATTCCGCAGACAAATTAAAATTTATGGGCGGAGTTCACTTTTTCCTACAAAAAGACATTTGTAGGGTAATGATTCGATTCAAAATTTTTAATAGTGGAAGGACTTGTGCCTCCAAAAAAATTATATTCTTTTCAAACAATAAAATTTAAAGGGCAAGATACGTTTTTAGCCTACAAAAAATTTGATCTGTTTGTAGGCTAAAAATTAGTGGGAAATTTTTCCAATTTAAAACACGCAAAATTTTTAAAACACGGAAAATAGCCGCTTCTTCCTCTTTTTTCCATCACTGTGCGTGAGAGAACCATGGAAGAACTGCCGCCTTCTTCCTCAACAATCGACCACCACCGGCCACCTAGACCACCAGATCCCACTACCATTCGAACCCCCTCACCTTCCTCTTCAACCTCTAGTCATCATCGGGCCATGGAGTTGTCGAAAACATCCCCAATCATCACCCAAAAATGCGCTACCAACCATGATTTTTGCCATATTTCCACCATCGTCAGCCACTGTTTCGATTGCGGACCACCACCACTCTCCTCCTCTCAACCAGGCGCATCCAGTACCACCATGGGTCACCTGCAATTTTGTTCAGAATCGAGAGAGCTTGTGAAAGCAGTTCGTGAGTGCTCTAATTTGTGTTTTTTTAATTTTAATTATTATTTTTATTAATTGGTTCACTGTCTGGTCTTGTCCTACAGACCCGTTTAGACCCAAAACTGTAATCTGGGTTTTGAATAAAAATTCATTTAGTGAAAGATCTTTTGATTATCCGATTTAAGGTGAGTTTATCAGAAGCATTTGAACTCTTATTCCATTTTATCAAAAAAATTACTAACTCTTTGTTGTATCTTTTACTGTATTAGTTTGTCATTGTACATGTTTAGCATTGCTTGCTGGAGAAAGAATCATTTGAGAAAACATACTTTGCTTCCAAGGAAAAACAGAGATGTTATCTTTTTTGGGAAAAGTCTCAATATTTTGCATTGACAAAAATGGGTTCTAACATGAATATTGGCATACGGTTGGATGGAATTGAACAATATAATTACCATTTTTTTACTATATATATGCCATAATTCTTGTATTGGTAATTTTTTAAAGGCAGATTCTTTTTTCTCCCTTCTTTTTTTAATTTTCATTTTTAATTTTTTGGCATTTTTCTGTTATTTTCTCGAATTAATAGTGAATCCATTTAAATCTGGACAGAATGATGAATGGAAGATTACAGGAATTTCTCTACATTCTTGTTTGTATGCTGATTATGATAAGAACAGAAGAATTTTTGGTTGATATTACTTATGTTCAGAGTGCTGTGGCAAAAGGAGCAGGCAAAACATTAAGGTGTTCAGAGTGCTGTGGCAAAAGGAGCAGGCAAAACATTAAGGGTTAACATTTAGAGCAAAATTCTATTTTTTTTTTACGTGCATATATATATTTTTAAAAAAGATTCAATATTCTTTTTTTTTGCTTTGTGTTTGCAATTTGTTTAGACGGTAGTCCACCGGCATATCATTTTGATAGGGGATCTCGTGCAGGAATTAACAATTGGTTGGTTCATATCGAGGTTAGTCCTTTTTTCATAAGCTATTAAAATATATATACAGTTTTTTTATGGTAGCAGAATGGATCATCGAAAGATTATACTTTAGATCATCCTAGGAAATAAGAGTAGTTACCTAATTTTTTTAAGAGAATATAATTCATACAATAGGAAAAGATGTAGTAACTATGTTTGAAACATGGTAAAAATGATGATGTTGAGATCAACAAACATCACAATGGAATTGATTAAATTATATAGAATAAAACTTATCTTCTTCTTGTTGCATTTTTGGCAATCAAACTGAGTATTTCACTTTTCATTTTGCCATCCATGTACCAGAGATATATTTGGCCAAACGCTTGAACCTGTTGAAATTGAATATTTTAGTATAGAAAGTTAAACTTAATGGTTTTTATTATTTCATATCGCTTTGACCGCTTGAATGGTTTTCATCCGGATTTTTCACAGGTCACGTCCAAGTTATGCATAAAAATAATGAATTTTCATCCTCTATAATAACTTAACAAAATCTGTTAATCTTCGTGTCTAGGGAGGAGGATGGTGCAACAATGTCACTACTTGCCTTGAACGTAAAGATAATTGCTTAGGTTCCTTCAAGAAAATGGCTAAGCAGGTTGTGTTTTCTGGGATTTTGAGCAACAAGATAGAGTTTAACCCAGGTATACTTCACATTTTTGATTGATTTTGATTTTGTTAAAACTTTTATATTTTTCAGTGTTATCTTTAATAAATATGGTCTATATTTGAATTTCTAGATTTTTATAATTGGAATAGGATAAAGGTTAGATATTGTCATGGAGCATCATTTATTGGATATAGAAGCAGTAGATATAATGAAATGGCATCATATAATAAATATGAACCCTTATATCTTCTTTTTCACTTTCTAGAAGTCGTTAGATATAATGAAATGGCAGTTTTCAAACATATAGTGAATTTCTTTGTTGTTCGAATATTTATGGAAACTTCTAATTTTTGGGTCAATATTCGATCAGGCTACTAAACTATACTTCAGAGGAGCAAGAGTTTTTGTTGCTATCATCGATGATTTGTTAGAAAAAGGAATGAAAGAATGTTGAAAATGAATGATTTTCTCTTATGTTTTTTCCTCCAACTTAGACTACATTCTTACTTGCTATCGTTAACTTGAGTGTTCTTATGTAGGCCATTCTGTCTGGATGTTCAGTCGGTGGATTAGCATCGATTTTGCATTATTATCTATATTTTGTTATAGAACGTTAAGAAGACTTCCTTCTTATATAGGTTTATTGAAAAACTATAGCAAGGCATTCCCGGTGAACTGATCAAGAAACAGTTAGAGGGGCTATATGTTATCTATTACTTAATCCACATTTACAAGCACCAGAGTGATTTCATTGCTACAAGCTGCATAGCTCAAAAGCAAGCTTGCTAATGATCAGCTCAGAGCCTTGTATTCTTTTACTGTATTTTCTTTGAATCATTAGTCATTTCTTTATTTACTCTTTTACTGGATGCCTGTAAATTGAAAATTACTTAGTTTGGATTTGGATGAACTATAAATTTTGTTATATTTGTGTTTTGGTAAAATATTTTGATTTAATAATACATTGATTGACACATGTTTAATTAATTTATAGTCTTTGGTCTTTTTATATTATTTTGAATAAGGTTAAAAAAAATTACTACAATATAAGCAAAAAAAAAAATATATGAAATAATTTAATTTCTCCCTACAAATTCTTTCAAAATAACCTACAAATATGTTTTCCCCACAAAATTATTTTTAAATAGAGTTTAGCCCACAAAATAATATGTACCATGTTGTCATAAATATTATTTTCCCACAAAATTTGTTTGTAGGAAAAAATACAATTTAGCTTGCAACATAATTTGTAGGGAAAAACGTAATTGTTTTGTGGGTAAAATTAACTTTAGCAGACAAATGATTTTGTTAGGGAAAAACTTACACGACGAATTGTGTTTGTCTTCAAAGGGTTCGTAAGGAAAATCTTTAGCCCACAAATTTAAAAAATTCGTCGTCTTATACCTTTCCTCTCGATGTTTGCTCCACAAATGTGTCTACAAAAATTTTTCGTCTGTAAAGATTTTTTCCTACAAATAAAATTTGTAGGGAAAGAATAAATTTCTTTATTTGTAGGGAAAGAATAAATTTCTCGTAGTGCATTCTTCATACTGTGATTGATATATTGATTTGTTTAATTTACTTGAGTGATGGTCAAGTTAGTATTGAATTCTATCTATTGCTCAGAATTAAGTATTTCTGCATCTTAAGGTTTGGGTTTGGTATTTCTGTGATTTTAAGAAAATAGCTTATTTGCTATGCTCAAGGAAAAAAATTAGTTTTTGAAAGAATCAATTAAGTTTTTATTGAACTTTTTTTTTTTTCCAGAATTATTCCACGTTTCAAAATCAGTATTTTAATTATAACAATATTTTTTACATTTTTATTACATGAATAGTAAAATCATTACAATTTGCTGTTTGAAACAGTAAAAGATGTAACCCTATAATTCCTAAATTCAAATTTGATGGTATAATAATTTCTCAAATAAAAATAAAATTAATTAAAAAGTGGAAATAAAAAATTACATATATCTAACTAATATTTTTCTACATTATTGAAAATATTCTAAATAGAATTTGGCTAAAAGAATTCAATTGGTTCATTAATAATTTTAAGAATTAAATATTTTTGGGAAAATTATTCTTTAATAGATTACAGTTTCTTAAATAAATTAATTTGAAATATTGATTACAAGAAAAATTTTCAACAAGAAAATTTACATTAAAAAATCTAAGTTGTAATTTGAAAGGAGGAAAATTTAAGAAAAATAAATTCTTCTTATGTAATATGCCAAAAATTAATTGAAAATTACCTATCGTCACTTTGTTATGAGACACCGGCCCTCGTACACAACCAATATCTTCTTTTCTATCGTAACCATAATAATCATTGTGGCAATGGCACCTATAAGAACCCAAAGTATTGATGCAAATTTCATCGGAGGCAGACGAATTATTGTTGCATTCATCGATATCTGCCACCCACCCATCAACCATCAAAGCAAATAACTGTTAGATTTCTTGGATAGCCAAATGCATAGTCTTTTAATTAAATAATAGTGATTTAAAACTAACCTTGGCACCCTAAACTTAGGAAAGAATTGCCCTCATGTCCTTCCTTGCACCTGCGATGATATCCAAGCTAATGCAAAAACTATTCTTTCCACATGAAGTTTTTGTGCAATTCGAAAGAGGACCAATTCTCCAATCTAACACCAATGGCTTATCTATAAACTCTTTATAATTCTTTGGGAATGCTGTTGGATCATTGAGATCAGATAATTTAAAAGCGAAATTACCAAGATCGCCTGTCATTCCAACGATGGCAAAACTACAAAAGAAATATTTGCCCTTTTTCCCCCAGGTATTATGCATGTCAACCAATTGAACATTGAGAACATCAGTTTTGGATATGGAGGTTTGGCAATAGCCCATACCGGGGCATCTTCCGACGGGATATCTAAGGTGTAGACAGCAAGGCAGGCAACCAATACCGCTGTAGTCATGGGTTAGGTTTGAAAATTGTTGTACAATGGCCAAGTCATCAAACCAACTGCTGTTATTTGATTTGCATCTGACAATGTATAAGGAGTAGAAGCAAAATTGAGGACTATAGAATAATTCATCATATTGAAAGTGAAATTACCAAGATCGCCAATCATTCCAACGGAGGCAAAACTATACTGGTAATATTTGCTATTGGGAGCCCAATTAGTATGCATGTCGACTAGTCGAACATAGAGATAGTCAGTTTTGGATATGGAGGTTTGGCAATAGCCCATACCGGGGCATCTTCCGATGGGATATCTAAGGCGTGGATAGTAAGACAGGCAACCAATACCGCTGTAGTCATGCGTTAGGTTTGAAAATTGTTGTACAATGGCCAAGTCATGAAACCAACTGCTGTTATTTGATTTGCATCTGACAATGTATAAGGAGTAGAAGAAAAATTGAGGGCTATAGAATAATTCATCATATTGAAAGTGAAATTACCAAGATTGCCAATCATTCCGACGGAGCCAAAACTACACTGGTAATATTTCCTATTGGGAGCCCAATTAGTATGCATGTCGACCAGTCGAACATTGACATAGTCACTTTTGTATATGGAGGTTAGCCAACATCCCCAGCTTAGGCATTTTCCGATAGAATGATTTCTAATGTCAAGACAGAATGACAGACAACCAATACCGTTGTACTCATGGATTTGGTTTGAAATTTGTAGTACAGTGGCCAAGTCATCACAACCAACTGTTGTTAGCTGATTTGCATCTGACAAGGTATAAGGAGTAGAATCAAAATTGAGGTTTATAGAATAATTCTTCCCATTGTAATTGGTTGGCATGCCATGCCCCCCTTTGGCCCCATTAAATTCCATTTTTCTCCATTCTATTTTCAATCACACAATCTTCCAAGGTAAATCGAAAATTTTTTCTTCTTTTTCAACAACTCATTTTTCAAAAAAATACTATTCGACCCATTTTCATTTCCAAAAAATGGGGGCCAAACAGGGGCATATCATGTCCTTGCCAGCTGTCGCTCCGAGTTCTTAACATAGGTTTGGGATTCTGAAATATTAACCACCTCTACGCAAGAGAGTTTTTCAGTGTCACTAACTGAGGTAAGGTTTTGGAGGTTGAAAGAAGTATTGCAGTGGATGTTAAAGTGCGAGTTCATAGAACAATTCGGCCGTATACCAAACGGTTATGGAATTTCTATGTTAATACAGCTGCTTTGGCAGCCGGTTTGGTAGAGTTGGTAGCATTCGACGGTGGTGCCACTGCCAGTGAAAGCAAGAAGAACATACGGAGCAATTCTTTGCAATATACATGTTTAGAATGAGTAGGTTAATCTGTATTTATAGACCAAAACATATTTCACATTAAGCGGAGCTTGGTTCAGCTACAAAAATTTATTGGTTAAAGTCAACAATTAATTTTAATTACACGTTGGGATTTACAATTTTTCAACTATACATTCCATCAACTTTTATATTAAAATTTTGTTATTTTTAGTCAAATTTTTAACAAGTATGACAAATCTATCTGTGGTGGAAAAAAGTCAATATATGTGTGTGTGTGTTATAAAATGAGAGGAAAAGAGAATAGAGAAAATTCAATAAACTTTTTGTGTGTATTATTGAAAACTAAAGCCCTATATTTATAGGTAAGAATCAGGGATACAATGGTAATAATTTCTAGGGCTACAGGGGTACAAATGTCATTCACCAATAAACTTTAATGGACTTTTTATTTACAACACTCCCCCTTGAATGACATATTACAAAATATCTGTCTCATTAAAACCTTGTTTGATAAAAACCTAATGGGAAAAAAAAATCAAATAAAGGAAAAAGAGTACAGTTATTTTGAAGTATTAAAATTAAATGCTGCCTCATTAAAACTTTGTTAGGAAAACCCAATGGGACAAAACCTAAGCGAAAGAAAAAGAGTACAGTTACTCCCCCTGATATTGATCACTGAAAATCTTTGAGTCGACGCATTCCAATCTCATGAACTAATTTTTTGAATGTAGATGTTGGCAGCGCTTTTGTGAATAGACCAGTCACATTGTCACTTGAGCGAATTTGTTGAATATCAATATCACCATTCTTTTGAAATTCATGTGTATGAAAAAATTTTGGAGAAATATGCTTCGTCCTGTCACCTTTGATATAGCCTCCCTTGAGTTGTGCGATATAAGCTTCATTATCTTCAAACAAAATTGTTGGACTATCTTTTGTTGAATTCAATCCACATGATGATTGGATATGATGGGTCATATTCCTCAACCATACACATTCTCGCCCTACTTCATGGATTGCAATAATCTCAGAATGATTTAAGGATGTTGCTGTCAAGGATTGCTTCACAGGTCTTCATGATATAGTTGTTCCTCCACGTGTAAACACATATCCTGTTTGTGATTTAGCTTTATGTGGATCGGAGAGATAACCTGCATCTGCATATCCCACTAAAGCAGATCCTAACTTTTGAGAATAAAATAGTCCCATATCAATAGTACCTTTTAGGTAACGAAAAATATGTTTAACACCATTCCAATGCCTTTGAGTTGGTGTAGAGTTATATCTTGCAAGGAGATTTACAGAAAAAGTTATGTCAGGTCGAGTGCAATTTACAAGATAAGTTAATGCTCCAATTGCACTAAGGTATGGTACTTCAGGACCAAGAATCTTTTCTCCATCTTCAAGTGGACGAAATGAATTTTTTTTCACATCATGTGATCGAACAAACATAGGTGGTGGCAATGGATGTGCATTATCCATATAAAAGCGTTTCAAGACTTTTTCTGTATAAGTAGATTGATGAACAAATAATCCATCTGGAAAATGTTCAATTTGTAATCCAAGACAAAATTTGGTTTTCCCCAAATCTTTCATCTCAAATTCATTTCTCAAATAATCTGTAGTTTTATTGAGCTCTTCAGGAGTTTCAATTAAATTTAAATCATCAACATAAACTGCCACAATTGCAAATCCAATATTTGTTTTCTTTATG